TTAATGTGTGAAGAACAGAGACTGATCAGAATAGATATTGATTGTATTGGATTGATTACGATCAAGAATTCACTTCATCTATAAAGTATTGAATGATACCAAAAAAAAATAAAGATGTAAGAATCAGAATTGATTCCGAATCTCTCTGACTTCTTCATCCCTATCAAGGTGTTATCAAATAGGTCTTAGGAATGATTGGATTATGTTATATATCCAGAACTGTGCCCTTGTGATTGCAATTAGCAGAGAGAAAAAGGAAATGACGTGCTCATCGAATCAAATCTAGGCCAACTGAATCAGTTGACTCATTGGACCATCTATCTTCAGCACTATTATGCTGATCAGAATCTTCCAACATGATCCTCAACTTAGAAAGTGTTCAATCACTCATACGAATATTATTGTCAAATGTAGTTTATATCTCATTGGAAGATTGCCGGTTTTCACGGGCATTACTCTGCATTTCGAAGCGAAGGAAAAAGGTTTCAAAATACAATATATTTGATATAAAATTTCGAACAATTTTTGAATCGAATTACACAGTAAGCCATCAGGATTGCCTGGCTATCAGTACAGATTTGAATATTCCTCCTGTATATTCTATAGAAACTTTATATTCAAGATTCATGTATTCACCATTGAGTCTGGATCTTTGATCCCTTATTGCTTAATTTGTATGTGCAAATAAAGGGCCCAGTCATAGAAGGTAAAACTTCAGTATTGGAAGTTTGCTTCTGAAAGCCATTCGAATGCAGTTGCCAATATTGGAGAAGGTGTTACAACACTTCAAATCTTGGAGTGATCACTTAAAGATTCCAGCAATTCTTTAGTGCAGATGTATAATCGGGCGATACTAACTAACAAACATACTTTTTAAATCACTTGATTCACTTCAGAAAAGTTCTTTATATGTAGAGTTATTCTTGAAATTATTGTAGTCGCGAAGGACGCCAAACGTCAGAGGAAAGCAAATATAACACTTGTACAAATGCTATATGAATAGAACATATGTATTTGTCCACTGCATCATTCTTAACACGAGATTTGTACTTTAAAGGATATAACTTACAAGTTTGAAAATTATCTTGCCTTTGAAAACCCGCAAATAAATTTGGTGAATAGGAAGCGTCAGTATAATACGCTGTTGTAAGATAGTTGTCCAGTCTTCGTATGATTATCACTACTTGAGATGGTCTGTCTGAACGTGCAAACTCGTGGCCACAATATTGAGAAACTAAGAAAAAAATATAATGATGAGGGAAATGACAGGGGTGTTGACCTAGGAATAAGGACAATCAGGACGTCACGGTTGAGAAAAGGTAGTCGAACAGTGGGAGTCGGACCTGATCCTTAGACATTCATGCCACAATTATTGGTCATGAAAGAAAGTATCTGGCCTGAAAGGAGATGAACTCCTGATGGTATCAATTGACTCCTTCAAAGGTCCTTCAAAGCTCAGACTAGATCTAGAATCCCTAGATCAATTGAAATAGAGTATGTTGAGTAAGAAAACATTTTGTTTGTGAAGTCTATTGAGGACAATATAATAACGTGCCAAGAAAGGAACAGATTTTCTTATCTCTCATTCTGTCAGAGACGGTGTTTATGCCGTTTGAAGCAACAGATTCACCTGGTAATGAGCACATCAACATGGTATATCATAACCAATGGGGTTCTGAACAAAATGTGTGAGTTACAACATTATTATCTGTGAATGATCTAATCAATAGTCCATCTTTTAGTCTTTTGATGTGAAGGATAAAAAATCCTTCGCATCAAAAGAGCAGAGATTTAGAAATGCAAATTCTAGAACACTGAATCCTTGTCTAACAAATATGGTCATTTGTATGTATATCTATATCATAACATCTTACATCCCAGCTCCCTTTCTCACCTCATATAGCCACCACAGAACATTGAACCTTTTATGAATTAACACAAAACTTTGTCCAAATATTTTAACAATATCAAACAGATTTCTAGATGTAAATATTACTCATTTTACCAAAAAAAAATTGAAATACGAGCGAAAAATGCATCGAACTAAAATGTGCGGGTCATTTTTTTTCTAATTAGATACGAGTCCTCTACCAAATGTGCGCCTGTTACATTTCATTTTCATTTATTTTTTCTACTTTATTGTCATTGTTCCTATTCCAAAAAATTAAACAAAGAATACGAAACATACTGAACTCAGAAAAATAGAAAAAAAAATTGTATAAAGGATTTCTTTTTGAAAGGCACTCATGCAAAGGACAAATATTATACTCGTACAAATACACACTTATATTGTATATGGACATGTTTCCAAAAGCAGTGAATAAAATGCTTTGTCTATATGGTGGACAAAATAAAAATGGAATCTAATCTAATGTACAGAAAAGTACACATACAGATAGCAGTGCCTAACTAACTCATACCAATAATAAAACTTGCAAACCATGGACAGACTTAAATACAATTGCACGGATAGTCCAACGAGCCGTTAGACAGGCATAATTTAGAAATATGATATAGTTGCTTCATGCTCCATTTTTTATGGTTGGAGGTAACTTCTATCATCTATATTTTTGGGGGGAAAGTTTGCATAGATTACACATATACATATATCTATGTATAAGTGCTACAATGTTGTGACGATCATATATATGCACGCATATGTTTAGTTTTATGGAATGGCCAAAGACTACATGAAACAAATATTGCCATTATTGTCATCATATGCCCAGCATAGAAATATTTATATATAGTACATATTTAGATTTTTTCCAAAGTATGTATAAAAAATATGTAATGTATAAAATAAATATTAAAGTGATTTTCTTTTTCTAACAGCTTCCATGTGGAGCAATATAAAATTCTTTTAGGTGACTATTGATATTAAAAGTTATAAATCATTTGTATATAATTGCCAGTTTACAGTGGACATTATGATGTGATAAAGAGAGGACTCACAAAATAATACAAGTTCTTTATTATTGATGATATATTATATTTTCTGCCAAGTGACACGTTAGTTTATTAAAGTCTGTATCATAAGACAAATATATTTGAACTTTCAATTATTGATTTATGATGTTAAAGGGTCTTATTCATAATCGATATTTAAATTTGTAGAAATTTTTGAAAAATTTAATATTTTGTATAAACTTGCCCTATAAAACCCTTTAAGACTCTCAAGCGCTGCTTGTAGCACAGCTTGATGTGATAAAACTAGCTTGTTTAATAGTTAAAGTAATGCTATTGGGATCGATAACGAAAAAGGTGGTACTATACAACACGAGTTGTACGCGGCAACGCTTTATAGACTTCTGTCAAACAAAAGTTGATTTTTAGCAGGCTTGGGGGTAATGGTTACATTTTTAATTACAATTACATTTGAAGTAATTGTAATTGAAGCTATACTAATTGCAATTACATGTAGATGTAATTGAAGAACTATTACAAATTATAGTAATTAGTAAACTTTAATTACAATTACATGTAATTAAAATTGGGGAAATTTCAATTACAATTACAAATAATTATAAGGGGATATTGTTTAATTAAACATTACTAGCAATAGTAAATGACCATATAATGTATTACTTTATGTAATTATAACACTCGGAAAAGGTTCTGAGATCTTCTACACTACTCATTACAGGAGCTTTACAATTCTCTCAAAGGCTTTGTTCAATATGCTCAATTAGCTTCCAGTGGATCTTCTAGTCAAAGAAATAGATATGTGCACTGCAGTCAGACTGAGCTTAACTGGCAAATGGAAGGTTTGTTGCAGGGTTCACCAGAAAATCTTGGATCTTCTACCGAGATCCCAGCACGCTGTTGATTATTGCATCAAGTAACCGTCACTATTGAGGCAATTCCGGAATTGTATCTCTTCGTAGTCTCAAGAATCCCAACTTCCCTTGAACAAATGTTTCCCTCTGAAAGGGGTTGGTGGAGGCATCTTCTTTGAGGAATTTAGAATTAATATATCTTTCAGAATCAATGATGACTGCAGTATGACTATAAAAGAGATATCAAAATTTATACTGATAATCAAGCTGCTATTAAATCCCTTACTAGTGTGTTTGCCCCATCTAGACTTGTCCATTAATGCCCGACGTCTCTCAATGAGATGACGAGACATTCGAACATTACCCTTGCATGGGTCAAAGGACACGGGAATACGTATAGCAATAACAAACGTCTTATCGCGCTCTTAAATTCGACAGAATTGGTGTGAAACTAAATTCTCACCAAGTTGGATGTAATCATTATAACACGTCTCTACTCTACGACAGATATAATATCCGTTTCCTTCTCCGTTGACTTTCCTTTCCTGACTCCTCTCTTTCTACTTCTTTTTCCTCTATTTCTGTCTTTTTATTCTTCTTATAAGTATTCTTACAAAGAGATCAACTTCGGACCCAGGTGAAGCCATATTTCTTTCTGGCTACCTGTGACAACATAACCTAATCATCTTCACGAAATAAATAGCAATGACTAAAAAATAACTTTTATATAAAATAAGAAAAACAAAATTACTATTCAATATTAATTTCTTTGCAAATTATTTATTTAATTTTTCATAACTAAAAAGGGAAATCGGATTTAGCTTACAAAAAAGTTATTAAAAACCGACCGGTTTCGATTACTTCATATTTTTGACTAATTTCACAAGTAGTATTTTTTGTCATAGGTATTTTATTTATGAATATATAAATTCCGCTATATTCATATATTTCCTATTAATTATAAGTATATTAACAATTTTAATTAAAACTAAAATAAATTTAAATCACCTTACTTCTTTCCTAGTTATTCGAATAATTTCTTATTTGTTAACCCTAAACTTCCACTAAATATTTGATGTAAACAAATGAAAAACGGCGTTAAATTTTTACCACCAACTCTGTACTCTTACTGACAAAATTATTCTCATACGATGAGAGATAAAGAATCAACAAAAATAAGAAAAGTAAATAAACACAACAAACACAATAATAAATAAATACCTTTTTCACAAAACACCTTGGCCCTTAATCAGATCAACCACACATATAAATAAATCCAATTGGAAATTAATTTACTTTAACTTTTTTTTAATGGGAAAATTTTAATTTTCTTTCTTCTTTGCAAAATCAATCAACCAAAAACATTTTCATTTCCAAACCATATGAAATCATAAACAAAACTATTTTTTGTTTCAGGTTTTAGCAAACAATTAAACACTTTTTCCTTCTTTTATTTATTTGCACGCGCTTATTTTTGGACTGTTTTGGTTTTTTATAAACGATTTTTTCATTATTTCAGGTCAACAATATGAAGGGAAAAAAATGTAAACAAAATACAATATTTTTTAACAGCACACACGACGACGCACACACAAACCCGTGAACAAATATACTTTGGCAGTAGCAGCAGCGAGCCTGCCTCTGGTCAATACGAAAAAAAACCAAAAGAAAAAAATTCACTGAACAAAACGAAGAGTGCAAAAATTTCGATGAAAACACGTGAAAATCAACGTTAAATAAACACTTTTCGAATGCAGCATGTGAAGTTGAAATTGTTGTTGCACTTTTTAACCGAAAACTTCTGAAATTTTTAACTGATTTAGAGAAAAATTTAATTAAAAACGAATTCACGACAGCACTAGCTAGAGCTTATTTTGGAAATTATTGAATTTTCATTAAACTGACAGCTGGTTGCAAACAATATTGCCACTGTCATGTAAATGCCAGTGGCGGAGAGATGCCAGTCTGCTGACAAGCCAGTGCACAATTGTTAGTGCAGACAACAACCTAGAATAGAGTGTTTCGTAGTGTTATTATTTTTGGTGGAATCTATTGTTTAAAATTTAAAATAAAGTAAATTTAAGTTTTACACAGTGGATTGAGTAATTTTAGCTTTTAAAATTTAAATAAATAATTTTTTTAACTTTTTAATCATTGCAGTGGGATTTACGTTTGTTGCCAAAAGTTATCTTAGCTTTTGTGCTAAATTTCCAAAATGATACTAAAATATATATTAATTAATTTTCGTTTATAAAAGTTGAATATCCAAAGATGAGGCTTTTTAATTATATATATATCAGCATAGTCCAGAATCTTAAACAACTTCGATATTAAGGACTGATAATCTTCAGCTGTAATTTTACATTCTGGATACATTAAAAGATTCATCAAGAGCTTTTGCTGATAACCATCTTGTGGACTGCTTCTTCCATCGAATTGTGTATGTAAGAGGTCACGAACCCTTTACTGTGATAAGTAGTTATCGGATGTAAGGCAGGGGAGGTGTACATTATCCTACATTAGTGAGGACAACTTTCTAAAGTAACTTTCCCTTTATAGCAAGTACATTCGCTCTTTCGTTTCCGATTATACCCGAGTGGAATGTAAATGATGTAAAGCTTACCACGGTCTAAGACTTAACTGATAACCCCCTAATTGCCTTCAGGCTTTCGGAAAAATATGTTAATGTCTGATGGCAACACATTCAATCTAATCTAATCTAACTAAGAGCGGGTTTTTGAAATGGCAATCAAATACCAATTAATAATCAGATTAGTTAATCTAAAAATAAATTTAATCTTATGTTAATCCCCTGTGATGTTTTTGAGTACAAGATTAAACAGTGTTGCCATACAAAACAATAGAAAACGTCACTGTTTGTTATCAAAACAATGCATATTTTATAAAAAGAAGAAGATCATTGTAAATTTAATATGAAAATTAATGAAAATTTTAATTTAATCGCTAATCTTTCACCTAAAGATTGGCCCTAAGGCATTCCGTGATAGAACAGACTTCCCCATGGAAATTAGTGCTGTGATTGGTAGACGGTAGTATAACTCGATTTCCCTGTTTTGTAGATGTAGGTTCCCAGACCCGTTTTGTCTCTCCCCTTAGAGCCCACTTAGAGATTTTATAACCAGAGATTCCCGCAGAAATTTGCTCTAATGTTCTTCTTGACCACGATCTCCTATTTGAGTCACATTCCAATTGCACATAGATATCAGTAAGTGACACTTCTTATAAGCATTTCAATCGGAGGAAGGTTCTATAATGTTTCTAAAGCTTAGGTTGACGTAGTGCTCATGGCAACACTTACACCCAGGCAACATGTACGCCGAATTTCCTGTAGTTGTATTATGTTACACTTTCTGTCCAAAGCAGTTTACCTGATTATATAAACGTAAGTTAGATTTGGGGTCCTTAGAGACTATAAAATCTTGCCAGTGGTACAATGCTCAAAATCAGATTCCTGGCACAATTTGTAATAATTAGTAAATGGAAATGTAAGTTTTCTGCCTGTAAACAAATGTTTAATCATCAGAGCCAAAGTAGCTTTAGTTAATTTAATTTAACTCAGCTTTGTCTAGAGTAGGAATGAAAACACCCTAATGTTTATCTCAGACGTTTCATGTTTCATTTTAAGATATTCCGAGATATTTAACAATCCTATTAAAATAGTAACATTACTTAATCTGAAAACAATTAAAAAATATTATAATAAAATTATTAAATAACAAAATTTTCATTTTGCCATAGATCGTCTTTCCCTTGTGAACTTCTCACAATTATGCTCTCAATGTTTTTGCTATTAGCGGACAAATCTGAGATGGTAAACTCGGCTCAATTGCACTTTTTTTTAGCTACAATTCGAATGTGAAAAGTGTCTTGATACATCAACGAAAATTATTATATGAAAATATTTGTTAATAAAAACAAAAAAACCTATTTCCTTATTAAAGTATTAACGCCTGGTGTTCAGAAATTCAGTTTCTTGGACGTAATTCCTAAGAATTTTCCAATCAATGTTCATAAGGGATGTTATATCCGGAATAATACAAAATATGTGCATCTAATATTGACAAAATACTGGCAATGTTTGCTCATTCTGAGGAGGCTTCTCGATCTGCTCTTGTTAGGGTCTTTATGATCTTTATGGTTCTACCCACTGTTTCATTATTTCAAGTGATCTTATGGGATTCACTTGCCAATATTTTTAATTGAGTCCTCGTTGCGCCGAACGGTTTAGCGATCGTCAGGTTAACTACCGAGAGTTTCCTTCTCTTTAAAGTAAGTACATTCGGTCTTTCGTTGCCGATTATTATATGATAAAAAGCTTACCCCTGAGAGAGTATTCCGCTCGACCATGACATTCTATCTGAGATCAGTGTTTCAAAGTTCTCCACATATTATGTGTCTGGTATGCGTTCGGATACTTCCGATATTTGTGTGTAGAAGGTGGAGGATTTGTTCCGCCAATAGCGAGTCTCACTAGTCTTCTCCTAAACTTGCACATAGATCCCAAAGACAAGATATATATTGTTGTCTAATGGGGTCTTCATATAGTATCAAAACCTTTTGGACTCTCTAAGTCAGTTTCCCTTGATTTCCTTGAACGCGATGTCTTGATCTTCAAGTCGTTGGTAACGAGATTCAACAATGCAATACAAATTAAACTTAAATATGAATCTAGGTCTACAGAGGGGAATAGAAGTTGTGAGTGGCGATCTGTGATTGCAGTGGAGAGATGATGACATTTAGTTTCTCCATACTTTGCAATAGAACGACGAAACGTAACGATCACTCTCTATGATCAGTCTGTAGGAGAGCCATAATAATTCAGTCCTTTACATCACGACTAGATGTAAATTCTGTTAAATTTAAAATAATTTAAAAATTTTACATTTCAAATAAAGTGATGATATATTTTGTATAGAAAAATATGTTCTGGTACCATTATTATCAATCAAAGAAGAGAAAATTTTTATTTTGTAAATTCCATTTAGTACCATCGCTAGAGCAAAAAATGCATTAAAAAGTGATGTGAGTACAATCGTACAACTATTTTTGCTCATTGTAAGTAGAGAAGAAACTAAATAAACGAATAAATAGTACACATAGTAAGTAGTAAGAGTAAATAATAAATAAATGAGTCAAAACGAGCTTAAAAATATTTAAATACTGGATTATTGTTATTAGTGTTGTTGTTTTTATAACTTTTATGTTTTAGTTGTTGGTGTTGTTGTTATATTGCGAGGGTACCAGTCGGTGCCAGTGTGAAATGATTTTTTTCGTATTTCTTTCCATTATATATACATTTATCTTATTATTGTTGTTGTTGTTGTTATTTTTCTTTGTAATCGCATTTACTCTGTATGCAATGTATTCGTTTAATTTTGTTCATTCATTCGTTTGTTTGTTGTTGTTGTTGTAGAGTTAGATTACACAGATTTTCTTACTGTAGTTGCTGTTATAAACATTTTATTTGAAAAACAATTGTTGCGAACTTAATGTGACCAACTAAATTTTTTTCTAAAACAAGGTTGGGGGATTTGTATGAATATGTGTACATACATATAGAGGTCGTAGACCCACAAAATTATTTATACTTCGCATCAGTCTTCGACGAGTCAACATTCAGTCGTTGTCGTAACGACATCTAGTTTAATCAAAGAATGCCGGGTGTCTCTAAATAAGATAGAGAGACGCTGTAGGATAATGCTAATATGGGTCCCAGGTCACAACGAATACCAGGATAACTCTATCGCTGATGAATTAGCCAGGAATGGCTCGATGATAGATGATGAAAAAACTGTACGGGAAAGCCCAATTCAGCAGGTTCAGTGAAACCACCTGTCAGATCAAGTCCTCTCAGGTCAAGATTATTCATAGCCTTCAGTAATATGTCATTAGCACTAATGCCAGAAGACTGACTACTAAAGAAGTAGTCATAATGAAGAGAAATGTGAGCCAGAGATTGAGAACAGAGGGCATCACTTTGGTGCTCCAGAAAGTGTCAGGTGTGGAGGAGCTTTCTGGCATAAACCTTAAGAATCTACTCAACTTTATCTGAAAGTAGCTCGCAACTTATACATCTGTACGATTAGCATAAAACTGATCTAAGGATTGGATAAGGCTATCGGTTTGTACGTTAGAGAGGGATGTTGTATATCCCGAATAATATCGCCCCCAAGATATTTAGATTTAATTTCGACGAAAGCCGGGCAATGACATGTTTCCTCTTCACATGTACTTATGTATATACGTAATAGCATACGAGGAGGCTTCTCCTCCTGCTCTCGTTAGAGTTACCCCATAGGATTTTTGTGGTTCTACCCACTGCTTCATTATTCTAAGTGGCCTCATTCTGTAGCCCATATTTGTAATTTATTTTGTCCAACATTTTTGCGTTCGTCAGGTAAACTGCCTCGAGTTCCTCTCCTTTTTAGCTTTCGTTGCCGATTATTAGCGAATAGCTTGGTACTAATATAAGGCAATGTTTATCTTTGGAAGAGTATTCAAATTCAATTTACACATTCCGTTATTACACGGACTTCTGTCTGCAAACGAGGGTTTTAACTAGGTAGACTATTTCCTTTTTGGGTTTTTAATCTAGAACCCTAGGCCCAATTTGTTGCCTAGTTTAGAGCCATTTTCATTTCAAAGTTTCACTGTCCTTTTCACATACTAGATGTACCAGTAATTCTGTGTGTCGACTTAGGATATGCTTCTCGTCTCAATATGATCTTTCTGGTTCTAACCACCCTTACCCTTATGGTATTCTCTCGTCCATATTTTTGTTTCAGCCTTTGTTGGGTCCAATAGTTTTGCGTTCGTCAGGTTAACTGCCTCAAGTTCCCTCCCCTTTAAAGCATTTACATTCGCTCTTTCATTGCCAA